GGGAGGGAGGGAGGGACGCTGTGAAGCTCGCCCTGCGGGAGACGGCGGCGCCCGAACCAGTGCGACCGGCTCAGCGCAGGCGACGGTCCCTCGCCTCGCGGATGACATGCCGGACAGGGGACACATTCTCCCAATTGCTGCTGCGAAACTCCACGGCCTCCGAGGACAATTGGCGCGCGGTTATTTCCAAATGGACACGTCTCCGGTAGCTGTCCGACGTGCGCACGTTGGTGCAAAACGCCACATCTCTGGAGACGAGGCGTATTGGAAGTAAATAGAGAACCACATCTTATTCGATTACGCAGACGATCAGCGGATATTGGGCGTTTTCACATGTAGTAAAGATAATAGCATGTGAATCAAATACACAATTTCGTTAATTTTTGAAAAGATTGGGGTTGTGACCTATTTGGAATAATAAATTTAATGATAAACACCAGTTTATAGAAGCGTGCGAAAAGTAAAATTTAAAATTCTCTAAAGAAAACTCTCAAAGCATATGAACAAAAATTCCTCTCTTTGGATCTGAACTTAAAAATTAATTCAATAAGACCGATTTTTTAAAATATTTATTGAGAAATAACTCTTGTGGGCATTAAAGAGAGCAAAGCACAATTTCAACAGTACAATTACTGCCATTAATACCTTTTATATATCGTAGAAAACGTAATTCCGTTTGGCGCAGTTCTTCATTCCCCTTCATTTGTTCATTCGCAATGCAGTTTTTCAACCCACGGTCCATTGCACAATAGGAGATAAGGACGACTCAGTCACTAGGTAAATAGCCTTAAAATGTGAAGATACGGGGGAAAAACGTGTGTTAGGAAAAACTGAGTGATTAAATGTACTCCAATCCACCAATAACATTCATACTGAAAAATAATACTGATCTTCCCTTCTGGTTTAAGAAATCTAAGGAACGCTAAAAGAAATACGATTGTGTGAACCAGAACTTTTTTGTCACAACTATTTTCATCTTTTGCAATAATTTATTTTATCAATGTATTGATAATATAAGGATGGAAATCGGTGGGTAATGTAAGAAAACAATGAACTTAAGACATTTCAAGCTAATGGTTGTGATTAACGGCGACATAAAAAAAGGATCCGGAAGGGTTACATTTTTTCTTTTCTTTCTTTATTGTTTATGTCCCCGCGGCTAGCGGGAAGCGAGCCCAGTTTCTTACAGCGTCTCAGATAACGTCCCTCTCAACGCGATACTCGCGATTTATGCGTGAATGATTTTCCAGCACCTCGCTCACGCGCATAATTTTATTCGTATGCCTTTCTCGTACAATGCTTTAGCGATCTCAGCTAAATCAAAATCGTGTCTCAGCTAAATCAAAATGTTTAAGATCCGAATTACCCACTTCTTTTCAACCAATTATTTCCTGAGTTTTAGGGAATGCGCACAGAGACTTCGGTGACAGAGCCTCTTTGCTGAAGCATGCGTTCGCTTAAAAGCCTGAAATTGTTCGTCAAACGAACATTTGTAAATTGAGTCACATTCTATCCAGGGTGTAAAATTTGCAATACAAGACATTCGAGCTAGGAATGTGTCATAGCGAACTAAATGGTGATGCTCAAAATTAAAACACCTATGTTAATAAACCATCGTCTCAATGCTTTTAAAATGGATTAGTAACCTTGGAAGTTCACGCGGTGGCATTTCCTTTGAAAGTGATTTCTTTTATTAATTCTTAAACTGACAAAGACAAAAAATCATCAGGACAATTAACAAAACTTGGATTATGTAATTGGAAAAATATTTTAGGCTTCCTTATTGAAGAAAATTTTATTTCATTTCTTTTTCACCCTTGGTCACTTTGGTCTGGAGGAAATTTAAAACATGTATATTTAAACATGGTTATAATATTTTGTTTCGAAGGACTTCTTTCATTTATGAAATGTCGACCTAGAAAAAACATCGATGTTTAAAACAACGTGGGTTTCAAAAGATCGATGATTTGAAAGCCTGGACGTCCAATCCCTAATGAGCTGTAAAAGAAACTTTCGGAAGAGGGGGCGTGTCGGGTACTCACCTAAGGAGCTCTCGGGGTCGGAGAGGTCGGAGAGCGAAGGCACCTTCTGCATGGAGCCGAGCGAGCGCGCGGCGCCGGGCACGCACGAGTCGTCGGCGCGCTCCTGCTTCACGCTGGGCATCGCGCCGCCCCCGCCGCCGCCCCCGCTGCC